TTGTAGGTGAGTATATTAAGGTAAGTATTTCATAGGATTGGCGTCTGCGGTAGCCTAGTGTTAGCACTGCGTACTGACATTTTGAAAGCTCGGGTTCAAATCCCAAACATCCAAAAGTTATGAAAAATTTATTTAAATAAAATACAAATTTAAGTTAAATTTTCTAATTGCGGTCGCTCTTCGGCAAGGAGTGTCATCCCCTCCGAGTGTATTTCTGACATGAAATAAAGTTCCTCATAAGGAAATAATCAGCAGTTCGGAGGCGGCTTAGTATAAACTCTAGGTCCCTCCACTTGTTGGAAAAACATCAAAAAACCGCAAATAAAATGAGGAGCTTGGCCGAATATCGCTTTATATATAATAATAATAATTTATTTTATGAAGTATTTTTGAATTTCCTTTATTTAATGAATTTAATTTTGATTAATTTTTTTAATGTCAATGAATTTCTTTGCTTTCTTTTTTTATTTATCTTATTTTTATTTTTCCAATTTTGATTTGATTTATTTTTGTGTTTTCTTTGAATTAATTTTATTTGTTTGTATTTTACTTTAATATGTTTTATTCAATTTTATGTTATTTTATTTTATTGTGTAATATTTCGTTTTAGTTTGTTTCATTTTGTTTAATTTAATTTTATTGACTAATTTTCATTTTTTATTTTGTTTTGTTTTAATATTTCTTCCTTTTTACAATAATTTAATTCTTTTTGTTATTATATTTTATGCTATTTTATTTTTATATTGCTTTGATTGGTGTTATTTTTACCTTTCTTATGTCAATAAAAATTAATGAAGGAGTAAGTCCACCGTAGATGCATTAAAAAAAAATTTGTTTATTAAATAAAAATATTCTTGGCTCTTCTTACCGATCGCACCAAGCCGCTCCGATAAATATTTTGTATGTCTCAAAACATTAATTAAAGATTTTAAAAAATCTATATGTTATACAACCCTTACATAATTTTCCAGATATTTTCAAAAGGATAAGCAAAACATTTTTTTATTTTGTTGCAGATTCTATTTTGCACCCTTTGAGCTGCAAACCACGGAGCTCGAAGAAGAAAAATCACTACACTGAAATGTCCATAGTTCCGCAAATTTAAAATTTTTTTTTCTGTAAACTAAATATTTTTCTATGTAAATATGAGACTAATAAAATATCAAAACATTGTAATCGTGTTGCCTTTCTTTCCACATAAAAAAATATTGAGCAAATGTGTTTTTTTGGCGTATACATTAATCTTATTTATTATATATCATTTGATTTTGATGTGGGATTTGTTTTCAGTATTTCTCTATTTCCCTCTTATGCTATACAAGAACCGAAACACAAAACAACATCACCAACTCTAATACACATTTAAATACAACTCAAAATTTAACACAACACATTCATACACATAATTTAACACATCTTGAAGATAATTTTAGGCTGAATTTCTAAATTTCCTGAAGAATGGTTTTTGCTTGTTGAAAGACAATTTGAAATTAGCAATATTCATAATGAAATAAATTTAAAAAAAATTTCCACTTCTATTATAATATGTTTGTGCGTATGTGCATACATACATGCATATGTGTACCTACAATGGCGTTTGACCAACAATGCCTACCAACAACCACACACGTCAAAACAAACTACCACACAAAAAGGAGTTGACAAAAAAACTAACAAAACAAAAACAAAGCGACCGGCCAGCAGAGTGAAGACGGCGTGGGTCGCTAACTACTTACAAGAACAAAGCTACTTGTAAAAAAAAAACAAAGCCAAGTAAAATTTTCTAACGTTAAACAAAAATTACAGGACAACAATAATTCGACTACAGATAAAAACTGTGTGTATATGTATATACAAGAAGTAAACAAAATATTCTTTTGGAATGCACACGAGGTGTGGTGCAACCAAATTGGTTACGAACCCACTCGCAATACTCCCGTGCTGCCGGGGGTATCTTTAACCCGCTTGTATGACTGGCCTCTGGGTGCGGGATGCTAGAAGGATTGGTTGGGAAGAATGAAGGGAACGACACTGTCGTCACGACAAAGCGGACAGAAACAATTAACAGATATATAATGTGATACTTATTTGCTCGGTCGGGTGTGCGTTCCGATTTCGGGCCCCTTCGGTGGTTCCGCCACAATCCAAAAACACGGCACTATCCTACCACTCAACAAATCAGGCTTCAACTGGCTTTTCACAAGCGCCGACTGGGTCAAAATTTTAACTTGGCCTCGGCTGGCTCCAATACATGTGTGTGCCTCGACTGGCTTACCCTACGCTATTCTATATATTTATATAATATAAACTTTTTTTTTTCAAAACACACAAAACAATTCGCACGTCTGGGTAAAAAGAGGTGGCCGCTTTTTGACAGATTAGAGCCCCTGCTCCGGCACGCACTAACGAACCAGGCCGCAAGCTACTCGTCGGCCTTTAGAATTCTCCTGCGAGTGTGTGGTCCACAATCATTTGACGCCGCCCCATTACCCAAAGGGACCGGGTTGTATAGCGCACGCCACCATGACACACCAAGTACACTTTACGGAATACCCGCGCAAAGTATTCCCTTTCCCTCATATTAGTTGGTGGAGGAACCGTTTTGGGGAACATCTCCTTTTGGAGACTTATACCACTGGGTAAACCACCGTGCCATCAATCCATGCCTTAAAATAATGCAACTATTTGCCGACAGATGTCACTGTCAACGCTTGGAATGAAAGGAAGCTTAGGCAAAACAAAGAAAATATATAGACAAACACAAAAGAAGTTTTTGTTGCGGCCAGTACGCGACTGTTGAAGACATGAGTGTCGACCTCATAAAATTCTAAAATAATAATAGAAATTAAATACATATTTTATACTCCCCTTGAATTGTTTAATCTGAAATACTCAGCCTGTATCCACGGAATTTCAATTCTTTTAAAACAAAGTAGATTGAGGGAAAAAACGAAAAACCAAAATTTCCCTCAATGCAATACGTTTGTACATATGTGCGTTATAAAAAGAAAAAAGAAAATAAAATAGTGTACTGCATATAGCAAAGAAAACGCGTTTTTACTTTAATAAACCAACATTAATATTTTCAATCCTTTTAAACAAAATTAATTTTTTATTTTATTCAACACTGAATGTTGAATATGGTGCCGAAACCCCTTTAACGGAGTGAACCTAACTAAAAAAAAAACAAGAAAACCGCGAAAAACGGCGTAAAAGCAAGCGATAGTCGCGAATAAAGAATTTTATAAACGCACGAAAAGTGGCTCAGTAAAATAAATAAAATAANTACACTGAAGATTCATTCATGATCTCTCAACAATGGAGGAATCCTGCGAGAAGTGGTGGAGCGACTGCAGTACTCTTCAAAAGCCGGTAGCAGTCAGGCATTACAAGGATCATCTGGATAAGCTAACAGATAAGGTGGACACAACTCACAACATCATACAGCTTAGCGTTTCAGTGGATGAGAAAACTCGGATTATGTGCGCAGATGAGTACGAGACTTCATTCAGCAACGCATTGCTGACGAAAATCCGAATAAGAGAAGCACTTGAAGGATTTAATAAACCGGAACCCCCACATAAACAAGTCAAGCGCAACCCACAGCGCAATCTCAACCCCACCCCAATTCACAACACTACCTGTACGGGTAATTCAACAGTATTCGGCAAGCGACTTAAATTTCGAGCTTGCATTGCAAGCACTCTCATCCCGATATGAAAATCTCCGGTTACTAGTAGATAACCAAATAGATACCCTACTAGATCTCAAAAGAATCCTAGTGGAGAGCGCGGAGCGAATTCAAAAGCTCCAGCTGACGATAACAAACAGTCTCTCCATCCTCAAATCCCACCAAATTTCCACACTAGACTGGAGCCCACTCTTGTTCCGTATATGCACTTCTAGATTACCTCGAGAATACCTGTCTCTATGGGAACAGCAAGTTTGCAACAGAAGAGACCTACCCCTCTGGTCTGAAATGAGCAACTTCTTGACAACTCGTTTTAAAGTCTTTGAAAAAACTCAACCCAAAAAATCCGAAACCTCAAATTGCAGACTCCATTCCTAGGCCTATTCACAGGCCGACACATAACTCCACTTTCTAGAATAGGAATAAAATGCACACACTACATACTGAGTCAAAAAGACCAGTGTCGGGCAAACTCTGTAATTTAAACCACTCCATGATGATGTGCTTCAAATTTAGAGAGCTTTCTGTCCCCGATCGGAACAAGTTCATAAAAGATCACAATTATTGCGTCTACTATCAAAGAAGGCATCACTCACTCCTCCATTACTCCAATAATAGCCAAACAGCAAACAATCAAAGAATCTCAAGAAAAACTGTCACATCCCAACTGGCAATTGACTAAGAACGGCCCTGTACCTCTCAACAGGCTGCAGAAACGTCAAACTTTACTCAAAAAGAGGATGATAAAATTCTTTCACACTTCTCCAGCAGTAGAGAAAGATCATGGCTTCCCACGGCAATCATTCCGATTCTCCACAAAAGAAAAATAACTCAAATAATAGAACTCATAGACCAAGGGTCGCAAAAAATCTTCATAGCCTCTCGTGTGCAAAAATCACTAGGACTTCCCTCCACAAAAACTCAATACGAGATTCTAGGAATGGGCGGACACACGGTACAAAATTCAAATAAAGTTTGTTCATTAACAATATGCTCCAATGATAGCAAAATAAAAATCGCAACTCAAGCGATAATACTTCCACAGCTAACCCAATTCTTGCCGTCATTCAAGATCACATACCTTGATATCAAACGATATGCCTCACTACCTTTAGCAGATCCTAGCTGCTTCGCTCCAGCAAAAATCGACATGGTAGTTGGTAGTGATATCCTACCAAAAATACTAGTCTCAGGCCTTAAAAACGGCATCGGTTGAAGCTTCATAGTCCAGAATACCATCTTTGGATGGATTTTAAGAGGACCTGTAGCACAAACGATTACTTCACTCAGTACGCAAGTAATCGAGACCATGGCCGACCCCTTAAGTGATCTGCTGAAGAAATTCTGGGAACAAGAAGAAGTGTCAGGAGCCCAGACACAGACGGATGAAGACACTATCTGCGAGGACCTCTATCGAAATACCACTTACCGGAGAAATGACGGTCGATATGTGGTAAAAATCCCCTTCAAACCGGAATTTCCCAACTCGATGGATTTAGGACACTCAAGACTCTCAGCTCAGCAGCAATACATCAGCATCGAACCAAACCTGGAGAAAAAACCGGATCTCCAAAAAATCTATGCAGAGGTCCTAGAAGAATACCAAACACTCGATCATATGGAGCGAGTGAATTCCCAAGAAATCATACGGGACGGCAAATACTTCTCATTCTTTCTGCCACATCACGCAGTTATAAAACCCGATAGTAAAACCACTAAAGTCCGAGTGGTATTCAACGCGTCTAAACTCTCTCACTCAGGTCTCTCCCTAAACGACGTACTGCATACAGGCCGCATACTGCAAAACGATCTTTTGCTCGTAATAATCAGGTGGCGGTTATATAAGTATGTTTTTAACGGCGATATTGAATAAATGTATCGCCAGATATATGTCCACAAGGAAGATCAAGACTTCCAACGGATTCTCTTTCGCAAATCCCCAAGTAGCCCAGTAGAAGACTACAAACTAAAAACAGTAACGTTTGGTGTGAGCTGTGCACCATACCTAGCCATTAGAACACTCCATCAGCTGGCTGAAGACACAAGTCGCAAAAATTTTAGTCAACGAAACTTATGTTGACGACATACTATCCGGCGGACACGATCTGAACTCAACAAAAACATCAGTATCTCCAACATTCAAAGTGCTCAAATCCGCCGGATTCCCGCTCAGAAAAATCACAGCAAATAACAGTTCACTGTTGAACGAAATACCCGAAACGCATCTCAGAGACTCCGAATTTCTGCAATTTCATGACACAAGCACTACAAAAACTCTCGGAATTAGGTGGAATGCATTGACAGATACATTCTCATATTCCGTTGACCCCCTTCTTGACACAAACGCTGCCACAAAAAGTCAAATATTGCCAGCAGTCGCGAAGCTTTTTCTGACGCCTCCGAAAAGGCGTACTGCGCGTGTGCAGGTCACGTCGCCGCAGACCCGCCGGCATGTTGTAGACATGAGTGTCGACCTCATAAAATTCTAAAATAATAATAGAAATTGAATATATTTTTTATACTCCCCTTGAATTGTTTAATCAGAAATACTCATCCTGTATTCACTAGAATTCCAATTCTTGTAAAACAAAGTAGATTGAGGGAAATAACGGAAAACCAAAATATCCCCTCCTTCTCCGTTAATGCAAAAATTACGCTAAGTATGTTATAAATAAGCTTACAGTATTTTTAAGTTCAATTGCTTGCTTACCTCAACACAATACGTTTGTACATATGTGCGTTATAAAAAGAAAAAAGAAAATAAAATAGTGTACTGCATATAGCAAAGAAAACGCGTTTTTACTTTAATAAACCAACCTTAATATTTTCTATCTTTTTAAACAAAACTAATTTTTTATTTTATTAAACACCGAATGTAGATCAAGAAATTCATCAAGACCCAGAAATAATTATAATCAAAATAATATTTGTTGGTATCATCAAAAATTTAAAAATAATGCCTTCAAATGTGTTCAACCTTAAACCAAACACAAATGCAGATTCTTTTAAACTATAACGTTCCATTATGACGGTGACTGATAATGGAAATATTAATAAACTTACACGTCGCCTTTTTACGATAAATTTAACAAATCAAAATTTTTGATTGATACATAATGATTTGGAACTTTAGTAAACATCAAAAAAAAGAAATAACAGATTTAACAACAACAAAAAGATTTGCAAGCGTTGTTCGTTTGTAAGACGATTCATGGTTAATTTATAAACCAAACTGAAGAAGTTTGACAGTGACACAAAACACAAAACGTGCGTCAGCTGCTTAAACCAGTGTGGCCAAAAACATAATAGCTAAAAAATCAACCATTCATATGTGAGCCTGAATTCAGCATGCATGATATGTTAAAGAAGGCATGCATGATATGTTAAAGAATTCTGAACAACAAGCTAACCACTACCGTGTCATTCGCCGAATCCAGGACTTCCCATCTACTGGCGCATGAAGACGCCACCAAAGTGGACGGGAATCACGGCCATTCTGCTCACTCATGCGAACTCTTGAAAAGGAATAGAGGAATATCCGCCATTTTAATCAAAATCAAAGCTTCACATCGGTTACTCTGCGCCTTCTGCAGCGGTGAAATTATAAGCCGTGCAATTATTGAAGTCTGCGCACCTGCGTCCATTATCACTTGGGAGCTGGCCGAAGAGCTCCAACTCAAAACTGATCATCATAGTGATCATAGGGGGTACATGCTACGTTTACGTGGAAAGTATGGTACTAGCATCACAGACTGCATTATTTCGGGGCTACCTACGAATAAGTCCCACGGCCAATGTAGACCCAACCATCATTACCGCTTGCACACATTTTCGGTTTACCAAGCGGCGCCATTGCGATTGTTGCTTGGAGCCGATGTGTGCCTCAGTTTTATCCAGTCGAGTACTTTATCGCATTTGACCCTCTAGTTGCTCAAAGTCCGTTATTTTGGTAGATACTCTGGGGCTCGGGCTCGTGCCGGTCGCAGCAAAATTTTTAAAATTTTTGCTTTGCTCTTTATTTATTTCATTTTCTCTATTGAAAATGTGTGAGTTACTTAATAGGTCAACCACCGTCTTAATACTTTTAAATGTTTAAGCTTCTCCAAATCGGAATTGAATAAATCGAGATATTTTCTCTTTACAATGGTTATTATATGTACAATTGTCAAATAAACTAGATTTCCTTTCGTTGCTCGAAGATCCGTAAGGGCACATATTTCCCTGCAAGCAACATCTATTTGAATAAAGAACGATTAAGAATAATGAAAAGAAAATCAACTCCAAAAAAAGTAGTTAATTTAAGTTCAATTTGAGTAAAAGGTCCTTCACGTTTTAGTTATTATATTTTTCATTTCCTTCTTATTGCTGGTCGCCTGCGAGATGAGACTTTCGGAATTCTCTGCAATCTCTCTGTTTATTGGGACTTTATCGGAGTGATTGGAAAAAAGGTGGTCGAAAGGACGAGTTTCCAAGCCACCGAGTACTCTGCATTTTTGTTTTGAATAGAATCTCTGGAAAAATCTGTTTCACTCTGGTATCAATATCATGTTGGATGATGGGTTAACTGAGGTAATGCAAACGCCTTCAGACCGTATGGAAAATTGTGCGTTGATAGGCGACTCAATCATAATGGAGCATGCTTGCCTTGTTTGTGTCGCGAGCGTATTACTAATTCCGGAAACTTGCGTGTTTACTTTTTAACCGGAAGTTTTATGCCTCGCCGAAGTCAATCCGAAATGAATAAGCATTCGGAAGCGGAATATATAAGTGCCCTTGCTTAATATATCAATCCGCGATCTTTGATGCACGACTTAATGCATGGAATGATGTCTAGGGTGACAAATCGAGCAATTAAAAACACCATTACATTCCGCAGCCCCGGATTCAGGCAGTTCAGACAAAATGTATACGAACAACGTTGCATTGCTCAAAAGTTGGCAGAACCGGTTACAATATGCATCGCTTTTGCTCATTAATATTTTGCCACGTTCATTTAAAAAGCATTGGATTTTTTGCTCATAGAGTCTGCTTGCTTAAAATCTTGTGCATTTGGCGTATCTGATGCTGTATACTGTCTCCAGAGACTGAAACCAGCTTGTCAAGAATTTATTCATATCTTACTACATTTGGATCTCGGACTTCTCTGTAACTGATTGCTCTCATACAGACAGTGAGTTCGAAGGCAGTTTAATTGAGCAAAGAAAATGTTTATATCATATGGTGGAAGGCGAATATCATGATCCATGACGACGGACTTTCTCCTTCTCGATTTCGGACAATTGATGGGTTGAGAGCTCCTCGATTGGTGACATGTTTCTTCGATATGCTTGGTAACACATTTTGTTTTATCTTAGCTGAGCTAATTTTAATTAAGGCCCCAGTGGAATCTCTGCACATAAGTTTACTATAAGCAGAAACAGCTCTGCCACAAAGATCTTTCAATTCATCTTTTTGAATTTCAAGACTAAATTTAGTGTGTTCTACTGTAGTATTATCTTTGAAATCGGACTTAAATTCTGTAAGTGATTCCACTATTTGAAGATATGACGCCATAATTGTAAAAATTTAACTTATATGTCTTGAAATCTTTGAAACAACTAAACGAAATGAACAAATTTATTATTGCACGAAGTGCCGAACTAAAATATTTCAGATTTCACAAAACATCGATCTTAAAAAGTTGTCCAACTTTGAAAACTTTCGGAATAGTAGTATATAATATCCCTGAAAATATGTAGTGATTTTTGCAATCCAATTTTTACTAAATGGAATAAAATACTTAAGAAAACAAAACTTTACTTATCCCTCCCAAGACTGCATGACTTTGCGAATTCACCACACACTTTTATTTATTTAGTTTTGTGTTTCTATTTAATTATCTGTGCTTTAATTTTTTAATAATTTGTTCGCACGGCGCAAATAATTTTAGTTTAATGGAAATATGTATTTAAAACCAAAGCAAAAGTGAAAAGAATTTGTTACAAATAAATAAGAGCGGAAATTTTTACATGTGCTAACACATCCTTGTTGTTGGTGCGCACAACACAAGACCTAAACTAATAAAGGAATAACAAAGTCCAATTTTTATTAATAAATCGTAAAAGCATATATGACAAAAATTAATCAATTCGAATATGTGAAAATTATTTTGGAATATGGAAAAAAGTAAGTGAACTCAAAATGCAATGTATAAAATACATACATGTATTTTTTTATATGTACTTACAAATTGAATGTTAAACCACGTACCTGTTGATTTCTTTTTGTATTTGTTGTTGAAACGAATGTCCTTTCTGTAAATTAAAATTTTCCAAGTGTTGTTTTCGGTGGTACAAGCTAAATATGTTCTAACGTTCATGACTTTCTTGTTTCAGTAACACGGCTAATGTAAATATTGTTTTATAGTTGAGGCCTCTTCAAATATCTGGTTCGAAGGACCATGTCAACGACTGAAGTAAGTCGGTCTCAAAGTCAGTCGTTTATTCCGGAAAGAATAAAAGAAATCAAATTCAAATTGATATTTAACTGTGAATTTGCTTAGAAGGAGCACAAATTATTGAAACAATAGCATATATATATGTATGTTCTTGGTTCTACCAATATTCGAATTCTTTACTTCCACTTTGTAAATTTGGGCAATCGATGTGTCAGCTCAGGGTATCTTATGGAACATGCAAATCTGAATTGAATGAAACTAATTGTAATATTTGTGGTTGAACCAATATATTGCAGATATAAAGATAAAAAAATTGTTGCTATATATTAACTTAAGCCGTTTGGCTACTCGCATATACCCTATAGTAAATTATAACATTTAGGCGTCTGGCATAAACACTCGAAATCTGCTACAGAAGCAGCTAAACGAAATAAAGG